GTCGAGCGCATACGAAACTCCAATCCCGCGAACCTCTATGTCATGGGGCGGCCCGATCTGGCTTTTGCCTTCACCAAGATTGCTCTCTGGAGACAGACGCAGTTCCGCAAGCTCGTGTACCTCGACGCAGATGTGGTAGCTCTGAGGGCCTTGGACGAGCTGTTCGACATTGAGGCTTCGTTTGCTGCAGCGCCAGATATCGGCTGGCCAGATGCTTTCAACAGCGGTGTCATGGTTATCAAACCAGACATGGGCGAATACTGGGCTCTCCAGACCATGGCAGCGACTGGTGACAGTTTCGATGGCGCAGATCAAGGCTTACTGAACCAGTACTTCGAACACCGTCCCTGGCAACGATTGAAGTTTACTTACAACTGCACGCCAAACGCCGAATACCAATGGGAGCCAGCATACCGCTACTACAAGCGCGACATCGCCGCTGTCCACTTTATCGGCAAGAACAAGCCTTGGTCAGGCCACCATGCGGGTGGAAACGGCGTCTATGGAGAACTGGTAGCGCGATGGTGGGCGGTGCATCAGAGACATTTGCACAAGGCAAAGGGGGGCCAACGAGCTGGTGAGGCAAAGAGCACCCATGGTGACTCCGGGCTTTCTTCCTCGTCTATTCCTGTTCCTATCGAGGCCTCTGCCGTTACAACCGAGCCACCTATGACCGAACCTGGAGATGAGATTCAGAATATTGACCAAGGTATGATAGAGCCAACGCCTACGGTCGAACAACGCAAGTTCTCTGCGCCTGAGATGCAGTGGGATGCAACCAAGTACGTTTTCTTAGCAACCAAATCTCTACGCATCATACTAACAGATCCAGGTTCGAGCCACCAGCGCAGTCGAGACCCGAAGCTGCCAACTTCCCTACCCAAACGTACACTTTCAGTGACAGCCGGTCGCTCTTCAAGGCTCCAAGCGCCTACCCAGAAGCGCCGCGGGACATGTGGTACCAGGTCCCAGAAACCAGGCCCAAACCTGCCGAGAGGCCTAAGCCTATCTTTCCATGGGAGCAAGAGGTGGACAGGCCAAAGCCGACGCGTGTGTTTGCTGAAGACTTGTCACCAGAACCGACACCTACAGTAATGTCCCCGACACACGCGTTTTCAACCGTACATTACGATGAGAGTGATAAAACAGCTCCAACCGGAGTGGATAGAGTTAGAAGCCCTGTAAACGCTTCTGCCTCGAATTTTGCTGACCAAGGTTGGCAGTCCTACCAGCATAGTGGCGTAAATGCCTGGGATAATGTTCCAGGTATCGATAGCTACGTTCGTGCCATATCGGACATGAGTGGAATACGGGGCAAGAACCAGTCACTACGCCAGACCACAGGCACGGATGATATCAGTTCGCCCATATTGGAACGTAGGAACCGTCGCGAGAGCCTTATTCTCACTGATTTCCCGTCTGCAGTAGAGCGACCAAGCCTTCCTGTGACACCTGCACCGGTCCGTCGTCCGATGTTCTGGGGCGAAGAGAGAAACCAAGCAGGTGAACTACCTTCTGCTACAGGAGTGCCGGATCAGACCGAATGGGTACGTTTGCGATGCGCATTTTCCTCTGTCAACCCCTCAAGCTTCTAGCATCGTCGTGTGTCAATCGATATGGCGACCACAATTGTGTCGAACCCTTTTTCCTCTCCAATTTTCCAGATGTAGCCCGACGGCTGAGGCACCATTGACACCGAAAACCGATGTTCTGACCGAAGAGACCTCGAGAGTCGTGGGCGCTGTATTTCCGTCTTCAATCCTTCCACCTCCACGAACTGGAGCCGGACCTAGTAGTGTGCTGCTAGTGTTTCTGACCAGTCTGGACTTCCTCGCCTCTTGAACAGAATTCCTCTCTGATATGATTTCTCTCCCTATCATTAGCCCATCGCTTGAGCGATCCCCTGATAAGACTCGAGCTGACTTTAAACTTTGAAGAACCCCGAGGAGAAGCTTGACCAGCTACGGCGTTCATCTCTGATCGAGTTTGAGCATCTGAAGAAAGACGAGCACCCTAACCCCCCGATGCGTGCGCTACCCGAGCATTCAGTCGTTGAGAAGAAAGAAGCAGGCACTTCATTTGGGCTTGATGGAGCAAACGACCAGGCTGTTCCAGGATCTTTCCCGCACGTCGCAGAAAAGGACTTTGCTAGCAGTGATCCTGCACCGGATGTACGACCAGGTTTCGGCGACCGTTCATTTGCTCATGGTGATGGAAACTCGGCACCGGACCACTACTCCAAGCAAGACTTTTCTTCTGGATCTTCAAGCACCTTCGGACAGAACTTCTCGAGTTCGACGTCGCAGGCAACGGCCCATGAACAAAGTGCTAGTCATGATTCGTTGTCATCTGGTCAGCAAGTTCAGTCTGGAGGCATGACCTTTACTGTACCCACCTTCGATGATGGTACTTCAGCCGACGTCCAAGCTGCGGGAGACGAACTCAGTCCGACACAGAGTAGGACCTAGAACGAGACGATGAACGAATGATGGATGCCGATGTCTCCGGTACTATCGTGTCGGACGTCGCACCTCGTGTAATTTCATGTCGTTAACGATGGAGGATACATATTGCAGTTTCATGTTTTTTGACTCTGGTCTGGGCCATTTCACGTTTCGTATCTCCCGTTAGCGAGATCTTCCAGCATTTGCACGGGCATTGCATAGCGGTCTGTTGTAGCTCATTGTGTGTTGTTATCTGCGAGGTCGGCTTCAAATTGTATGGCATGCAGGGTGTTGGAATGACAATAAAGACTGGAGACAACCACACGCGCCAGAATATGCAAGGAACATTTCGTGCATGTTCTTCCTAGGCACGCTTGGGCCAGCTGCTCCACTCGAAAGCTTGACAAGCTTGAGTCGACTGATGGCGCTGTGCCCTTCCAAAGATGCCCCGCTTGCCCCTCCCCACCCAATTTGCCCTTGAGCAACGAGCACCTGCCCGATTTATCTCAGCCTGTAGACCGCGAATAAGCGCCACAGCCACCCATAGAAGCCTCTTCTGTCATCTGCGAAGCTTCTCCTCGTCTCCGTCACCTAGACTCATCGCAACACCTATCCGCTGCGACCGTTACACGCCAGAACGACTACCCAACGCCGCCTGGCCATATCTGTATCACCCACCCAACAAGATGGCGCACCTCGACCCGTACTTCAAGCAGGTAGACGCCTTGCAGAGCAACTTCATCGAGAGGCTGAGGGAGGCGGTTGCTATCCCCAGTATCAGCTCCGAGGACCAGAGGAGACCTGATGTCGTCAAGGTACGAATAAACTACAAAGCACGTATGCATTGTCCAGTGTCCCAGCTGACCCAACACACAGATGGGCCACTGGTTAGCGGACCAGATCAAGGCGCTTGGTGGTACCGTTGAGCTCCGCGAGCTCGGAAAGCAGCCTGGTCGCGAGCACCTTGACCTCCCACCGTGCCTTCTCGGACGCTACGGAGACGACCCGAAGAAGCTCAACGTTCTCGTTTATGGTCACTACGATGTACAGCCCGCGAACAAATCCGACGGATGGGCGACCGACCCCTTCACCCTCACCATCGACGACAAGGACCGCATGTACGGACGCGGTAGCACCGATGACAAGGGCCCAGTTCTTGGCTGGTTGAATGCGATTGAGGCACATCAGAAGGCAGGCGTAGAACTCCCAGTCAACCTGATCATGTGCTTCGAGGGCATGGAAGAGAACGGATCAGAGGGTCTGGACGACACCATCCGCGCCGAGGCCAAGAAGTTCTTCAAGGACGTAGATGTTGTTTGCATCTCAGACAACTACTGGCTAGGAACCGAGAAGCCATGCTTGACATACGGTGTTCGCGGTTGCAACTACTACCAAGTAGAGGTCTCTGGACCTGGTCAGGATCTGCACTCTGGTGTCTACGGTGGAATGACACACGAGCCCATGACCGACTTGGTTCGCATCATGAACTCGTTCGTCGACCCCGACGGCAAGATTCTCATCAAGGGCGTCGATGACCTCGTTGCCCCGCTTACCGAGCAAGAAGCTGCACTTTACCCACCCATCGCCTTCACCATGGACGGTCTGCGGGAATCATTGGGCGGTGAAGTCACGATCCACGACAACAAGGAGGATGCGCTCAAGTCCAAGATGCGATACCCATCGCTGTCGCTCCACGGCATTGAGGGTGCTTTCTACTCCGAGGGCGCGAAGACTGTCATCCCTGCCAAGGTCATTGGAAAGTTCTCCATTCGCACAGTACCAAACATGGAGATCGACCCAGTCACCAAGTTAGTTGAGAAGCATGTCAACGACGAGTTTGCCAAGCTCAAGTCCAAGAACAAAATGAAGTTCAGCGTGGTGCACTGCGGAAAGTGGTGGGTGGAGGACCCCAACCACCCCAACTACACTGCTGCTGCCAAGGCCGTCGAGCGTGTATTTGGTGTAAAGCCAGACATGACCCGAGAGGGTGGTAGCATCCCTGTTACCTTGACCTTCCAGGAGGAGCTAGGCAAGAATGTCCTATTGCTGCCAATGGGTAGCTCGACTGACGCCGCTCACTCGATAAACGAGAAGCTGGACAAGAGGAACTACATTGAGGGCACGAAGCTACTAGGAGCCTACCTGCACTACGTTGCAGGAGAGATGAAGCGCGAGTAGATGTCGCTCACTTGAATAACACTGCCGGTCTAGTTCTTGTAGGTTCGTAAATCGTTAGTTTCCGAAAGAAGAGTATACCCATCCAGCAGCGTGCTCTCTTCTTGTGACTCTGGTCCGATCAAGTGACCGATGCATACTTTATTCTGACATACACCTTCTCTTAAAACGGCAGACTGCATGCCTCGCCTATGCTCGTAGTGTCCGCATCTTGACTATGTTATGGATGTGCTCTGGGGTTGGGTGATGGGATCCCGCCCCAGCTTTGACCACCCGGCGCGGAACAACTAAAAAAGTTCGGCATCGCTCCACCCAGGACGGCCAGCACCGTGCCATCGCGTGCAGCTCAAGCAGCCCGCCAAACCCAACCCCAATTCCACAATGTCAACATGTAAATCCCTCCTTCGGGCATGTCCATCGCAACGGACTACTCCATCGCTCCTTCCCCTCACGCAATGTCGTTTCGAATCCACAACCCGGCGGCACAGAAAACTGCTCGCACTCCCCGAAGCACCATCCTACACACCCGACCGCTCGGCTCCCACATTGGTCTTCAATCCCCCGTCTTCGGCGCCAAACGTCTATCACACGCCGCTCAAGTTTCTGCCCAAGGAAGATAAGAGAAGACAGTTATACGCTGCCGCTCAACAATACGCAACAAAACTGGCGCACACACGGCAATCCTCCCACATCGCAGCGCCTGGCACACCACTCAATACAGACAGTTTCCTTCCACCGCGCCCTTCTGCCTCCCTGCCTGCGCCTGTTCGACAGCCATACGAGAAGACCTACCATCTCAACGAGAATGATATTGCTGAGATTAGGAGGCTGAGGAGTCAGGACCCAGATACATGGACGCGGGTGAAGCTGGCGGAGAAATTCGGTTGCAGTCAGTTCTTTGTGGGTATGGTTGCTAAAAACGAGGGCAAGGCGGAGAGGGTAAACAGGGAGCATGAGGCGGCAAGGAGGAAGTGGGGAACCAGGAGACGAGAGGCTAGGGAGGACCGGGGCAGGAGGAAGGTACTTTGGGGGAGAGACGCTTAGGCAATTATGCATGCAGTTATTCGTTGTTGATTCTGTATAGGCATCTACACCAGACATGGATCACAACCGCGGACTTTCATGCCTTCTGGGGCAGGGTGACCTCAAATCTAGGTCATAGGGCACGAACACACTATGGATATTGCATACGATATGTGTAAACAGTATAAAGGAACAATTATATTTTGATGCATCACGACTTTCGCCAGCCTTCTGATCAGCAACCATATGTTGATGATCGCCATTCCTAGACGTATGCCAATGGGTATCATGTCAAGACTCCGTAAACGCCAGACTCCTCCATACTAAAAAATACCCCCGTATTCACCCTCGACCTCCTCTCTCCACCTCGATTGCCTTCCCAACCCTGAAAGCAAAACCCTCGCCATCTCTTGCGCCTGCGCCTACCTTCCAGCACTCAAACCGCCCCCGACTAACTACCTCCCAACGCTGCAGTCTCTCTTTTTCAGCCTCTTCGACACTGATTGCTGGAGCAAACTTGGGTACGTCTACACGGCGGATTGCTAATCGCGTGACCGACGTACCTTGAGGCCATGACGTAGGTAAAGCAGGCCTGTATGATGATTGTGAAGTAGAATGCGATGTAAGTACCGCGCCACAGGAGAGTAGTTTGATTAGCTTGGTGAGGCGGATTATGAGTTGTGTGGATGCCACTGCCAAAGTATTTGACGACATGGAGACAGAAGAAGTGTTTGTGTTTCGTATCGACCAGATAAAAGCGTCGATGTCTTCCAAGACAATGGACTGGATACGGCGGTGCATACTCTTGTGTGGAGTCGTCTGGTTCAACAGGTAGTCTGGTAGGGAATCAAGAGTGGCTAGCAGAGAAGGCCAGGACTTAGGGTAAAAGACATGGAGATGTTGGAGTGCGGTCTTGACCATGATTTTGACATCGACTTTTAGGGGTTCATTGATCTCCAGGTCTGTGGAAAGGAGTTGCGAATTTACGAGTGACAGCATTGTTTCTGCTAATCGAAGGATGCTGAAGTGATGTAGTGGGTCGAAAAGAACGACGGCTACCCCTTGGCCGCCTACTGAGACGGCGCGGAAAGTTGGGGGGAGTATGGCGTGGGCAATCATGAAATAGAGAAGTGATGTTTTCCCGGCTCCAGAGGGGTGTTGCGTTGGTGGTGAGGAAATGATTTCAAGGATCGGGGAATCTGAGCCAGAAATGAGACGGTCAATCTCCGGGACATTGAAATGTGATGTTTGGGTGGTGTTCGTGCCAATGGTACTGTTCAAAGTCAGCATCGATTCGTACTTCATCCCACCAATGAGAATGAAAGATAAAAATCTGGCCTAGTTTTGTAAACAACAACACATACACGTTATCCTCGCTTATAACAAACTCTCGAAGAGATCTGAAGACCTGTGCCGACGTTAGTATACATTGAATTCTAGGGTCGTCGTGTTAATGCGAAATACCGAGCTCAAATCCTCAACATCCACCTCCATCAGCAGTTTCTCCCCAAGCCTCTTCGCTCCATCACTACTCATCTTCCTCTTTCCGTTCAGACAACCACCCCGCTCTTTTGTCTTCTAGTCAGACCGCAGTCAGACCGCTTGATATAACTTTCTTCGCGCAATGGCACCGCCGATTTCAACGATCCCCGTCTCCGAGTTGGAAGCGTCAATCAACACTTTGCCGTCCGGCAAGCCACGGAATCCAAAAGTCAAATTGGGCGATTGTGTGCTGAAGGAATTGGTACAGTACAAATGTCTTGTAGAGCAGCCGAAGGGGAAGGCGGTTGCATCTGGCGTACTATGTGAGCCGTTAGTTCACTTGCTGAGACGGTAAGTGCTGAGTGAGGTGGAATGCCCAAGGTCTTGGCGTCGTGATCAAGCTCGAAAAGCCAGTCTGATGGAGTTGGATGTATGGCTAATGACATTCCAGCTGTCCAGGAGGATTAAATATTGAGACCACCGCGTGGGAAGGGTGGAAGGCGAAGCAGGAAGGTGAAGGGGTTGAGGGGTGAAATGAGGTCGCCAGGGTGGAAATGGCATCGTGCAACGTCACGCATGCAGTGCCTGTTTACACAACAAGTGCATGTCTTCATGGTCGCAATTTCAGCTCTAGAGTCTTACTAACAATTTGATCAGGAAGAGATGCAGTCAAGATATGCAATCGATTGATGACGAAAAGATGTTATGCTCGCCTCGGCCACACTATGTGTCACCGCTGACTGCTCTGGCATAGTAGAGTGAGTAGACTATAGTACAACTTCTAACAAAGAAATAAGATATCAACGCCGCTTAAATGCCTGAAGCGTGCCTAAGCCCCCTAGGGCCGAAATGCAGATACCCAAACGCCTCGCTATCAGAATGCAGTAGTAGAACAACTTTTTCAAAATCATGTTGCCGCCGTGTTTCAGGTGTTACGAACTATGAAGCGCCGGTTGCGGACTTTCTCCAGTATTTCCGGTCGTAGTTGACATGTACGCCTTCCTCAAGGTTGACGTTCCGATCGGTCGTCAGCTGCCGTATTGGAGCGTCTTGGGGCATATCCCAGTCATCGTCGTACTCGTCCGTCTGGGCTTGCCGCCGCTCTTCCTCCTTCTCTCGCTGGTTCTCTTCGTCGAGCAGGTCTTTCATGGCGGCTTGCCACAACTGGTCGCTCTCCTTCATGCGCCTGCTGCGCTTGCGCTTGCCAACGTTCTGTTTCTGGACGCCCGCCTTCTGTGCCGCCATGAGTTTTCGAAGACTCTGTTCGGCAAGAATGCCCTCCTCAGTCGCCTTCTCCCGGATCTTGCGCGGATCATTTTCGCGTTTTGTAAAGACGGGCGTTGCTGTGTACGTGTGTTTTGATGGGAAACCGGGGAAATGCTTTGGTATATAACGGCGCGTTTCTTTGTCCGCCTTGCCGGAAAGACCAGGACCCAGCAAGGACTCAGTGTCGGGCGGCGGAGCCTCTGGAGGCGCAGGAGGTTCAAAGTATGGTTGCAGTACCGATGGTGGAACTTCACCTGTGTCAATATGTTGTTCGAGGGAAGCCGAGCCGCGTAGGCCGGCAGATGTGAGGGCGTAGATCCAGTCGTGGGCTACGGTTTCAGTGCGCCGCGAGCTGATCATTGACGTCCGTACTTGTGCTAGAAAGTTGGTCATGTCTGTGACTAGTCAGTCCTGAAAAGTGTAGCAGGCTCTCATGGCCAGTTTCTGTCGCAAGGTGAAGCCATACAGGAATCGACCAGTGCCCGGAACTCCTCCAACGCGTCCGGGCGCGCGCTCTCGAAGCCGACGCCTTTGCATTGTATCGCTATTGCGCGGCGCAATTGCTGATCGAAAAAGTCTTTGCTCTCGCCAAAGGGATCGAGCTCTGCGCTGATGGGTTCGGCGATGTGCTGGATGGGCTGCGTGTGGTGCAGCGCCCGAACGACTTGCCGCTTCTTGGGATGTGGCTCTCCGTATGTCGGCGCGTTTCCCGCATCATGTGCTCTCTTCATGCCTGCGATGGCGCCCTCGCTGCTGGCGCTGGGAGAAAGTATGATGCCTGGCATATGCTGCTCGTTGTCGCGATTCCGGCTATGGGTGAAGGCGTGGCTGGACAATGTGCACGCGATGGTGGTTCCAAGGACGAGTTTATCGATAGGTAAGAGCGCGGGCGGGAGTGCGAGGGCGCATCGGTTGCAGAGTACTGCCCTGACAATGGGAGCAGACGTGAAGGCGCGTGTGGTCTCGTATTCGATGGTGTTGTCTCCTTTCACCTGACTGCCTGCCGTTGTCTTTCAGTCGGGAGCTTCCAAGGCGCGGGACGCTAAGGCTGCCTTACGTCAGCAGCAGCCGCCGTTACTTCTCCCCGTCGAACCACCACAACTTCAGATAGCCGCAGACGACGACTACCAGCTCCCGCAACCCGCATCCGCGCCCCAAAACTCTCCGCTCTCCCGAAACCGACTTTTACAATGGCCGTCAAACCCATCACCGGCGTATGTGCTGCCATTGAGTGCTTTGGCCGGTAGTGGGCTGGATGCTAATGACTGGATTGCAGATGCTCCGACGACAGATCGTGCTCGACCTCTCCGTCGCCATGGGTGCGTAGAAACCTGGCAGTGCATGTGCCGTATTTTTGGGGCTTGGAGAGCTCTGTAGACGTGCGCGCATCATCTTTGGAGCTTGGCTAACAGCAATCGCAGGTCTCGGCGTCACTACCGGCTATGGCTGGTGGTACGGTACGTAAATCATCCACTGGCGATGCGACTGCGCTTCCCACTGCCAAAATTGCTTTCGTTCCCGTTCTTACTTTCCAAGGCTACCACGTCCCCGCCGTCCGTCACCGTGACGCTTTCTACCAGAAGCTAGAAGATGAGCGCGCGTCGGCTCTCGGCCAGAAATAAGCCAACACTCCTCGCGACCCGACATCTCCTTTGTATCGACAGGTCTTGAAAGCATAGAGTGGACGTTAGCTGGGGATCAAGTGTATCATAAATGGAGTGGATCTCTCGACAGCAAGCCAAATCAGACTACGTCAAACGACCCCGCGTATGCGTCTTCGCATGTCATGTGCTCTGTGATTGTAGCGTGTCCCGCACCATTGTTTAGTGCTGCCGCAAAGAGAGCTGCTTATTCACGTTGAAAATCCGGCTGCACGTGCTCACATTTTCCCACGGGGCACTGCCACGCTGCGCACTCGACACATGGAAACCGTAGGCTTGAGACGCCCTAGTCCACGTGCCTTTATAAGCCATAACGTCCGACGGTCTGCAGGACACCATGCCATGATCTGTGTTCTAGCTCCAATGTATCAAGCAGTTAAACCCTGGAACACCAGTTGTCCTGGTCATCACGAAATATATGCCTAGCATCCAGCTTGCTCATTTGGTATCACTTGAGGCGAATGAAAAAAAGGAATGTACACAATCCATCAGTTAGGGTGTTAGAGGCTGCAAGGGATATCTGACGAACCTGCAGAAAGCTAACACCAGGGCTTTACTGCCGTTGCATGATCACATAAAGTTTGATATGCTAATAACTAGGTTAATGCATCTCGTCTGCTTCGTCAGCCGGCTTATCCCACGTGAAGCTCTCGTGTTGTGGAAGGTCAGGCGGTCTTCTTCAATGTTCATATTGAGTTTTGAAAACAGCTGTTCGGTCGCAACGGAGCATCAACAATTCAAGAACCCTCTTCAGTATAGAAGAGACAAACGCAATTAATACAGGATTGTTTTACCTAGGAAGGGGTACAGTACATCTTTTCCACTTACAGTTCTCATAGTTGAGCAGCAGTATTCTATAGCTGCATCTACCACTATCAGCTCACGGTAATGGCCGCGCATGATTGATAGGACAAGGGAAAAAAATAAAGTTAGATGTTCAGTCGCGATCGATAATCGATGATCAGGGCCAGCGCACGGACTAGTCGTAGAAACTGCTCCTGCCTCGAAATCTCGCGTCATGAACCTCAACTCAGACCGCGATGAATCTACCTTGATTGTTGTACAATTTATTCCCACAGTAGTCGAAAATGTACAGAACACTCAGAAGAGACACACGACGAAATATGACAGCGCTCAAGTTTCAAGGCGATCCAGAAGATTCTGATGCTTCGATGGTGGTGGTTACAAGTCGTCTCACCAAGCTATCACGAAACTATTGGTAGACTGTCATGACGCGTCAGGCCAATGACAGAGTGATATGGGTCACGAGGCGCGACGCGACACGTTGTATGCTACTTGTTTCTTGGTCATTAAAGCAAAAAAGTCCGATGTTCAATTGCAAAGGCCATGCAAGACGAAGCAGCGGTGGGGGGAAGCAGAAACGTGTCAAACGCTGGGTGCTATTGGCCGAGAACCAGGCTTCACTCACAGGTTCCCTGGCGATCATGCCCAATCCATGGCGCTGGCTGCAGGGAAGCGTCGCCGCCAAGGATCGACGCGAACCCAGAGACTCAAGGCGCAGCGGCGTGGCAAGCGGGAGTCGTATTAGGGAAGATGGCATGTTTTGTGGTACGGGGCTGAAGGAGCTGCTCTCGATGGGGGAGAGGTGAAGAAAAAGCAGCGTCAGGGATGAGAGGCGGATTCGAGAGGCAAGGTGACTGCTTTGACAGCGGCGTGTTGGTTCGGAACGGGGTGGAGGACCCATAGCATAGCGTCCGGCGCCTTAGCGCGAGATGTGGATGACTAGTCCCTCACCATCCATTAGGGCAACGGGTGGCCGATCACAAGCGACCTGGCTTGAAGTTAAGTAGAGGACTGGGGGCGTCAGATGGGCGTCCCCTTTGATGATTTGTAGTAATAACGGCATACGGGCACTTGGCTACTCTTCTAAATCTGTGTGTATGGCAGATGACGGGACTGCGCAACGGAGTACAGGCAGAGCTGCCATGAAGGCGACAGGCGTCTTGTATCTGTCGGGTGCCATCTGTCCTCGATAGGGATATTGGACGAGATGATTTGAGTGAAGGCGTTGGTGCCCTGATCACCGCCTGGCGCAGAGGACAACTAAAGTGGCTAGCGAGCGATGGTAGTGGAAAAAGCAGCCGTACCCTCGCTCATCGAATAGACGGCATGGCGCCATTTAAAGCCACAGGGCTCGACCAGACGGTAGGGATGAAACTCCGCAGTCGTCAAGACGCACACCAGGCGCTGCATAGTAGAGCTGCCACAGTGATCAAACACCTGGCAAAGGTTAAGACGGTGAACTATAGCAAGATGAGAGCGACGCATAGGCCGGCAGGGCGGGGAGGAGGGAAGACGACAAGAGCACATGGTTCGTCCTGCCACCAGAACTGCGGAAGATTTGGCGGGTCCCAGCCAAGCGCTAGCGCCATTCATTCGACGAACCTGTGATACCTGGTCGAGAGATGGGGGGCGCAACAGGCGCCCTTTTGGGCCGTCGCCGACCGGGACAGTGGTGTGAATAGATGAATGCGATATCGAGCAAGCTCTCGTAGCAAAACATCGTCCTGCGTCTGCCTCGACAGCTGTTCCTGCCTTCTGGAGCATGACCACAGACGGACCGGGGCAGGAGCGTTAGAGGGCCTACCACTTGCAGCTAGCGGATAGATCCCTGCAGTTGGACGAGGTAGGTGCGACGGGCGCGATTGCTGCACCTGGGCTGCGACGCACGCCCTCTTTCTGACGGCTCTCGCAATCTTCCTCGCTCACCCACCCAAACACGTCTGGATTTGCATCTTCTTCTTCTTCTTCTTTGCCGTTCCAGCGACATCACCACTTCGATAGCTGCATCTTGTCCCCATGGACACGTCGTCTTGAAAGCTGCAGCTGCGTAATTTAGGCGCCGTCGTTTAGGTCCACGGGTGCTGCGCTAACATTGCGCCCTGTCCGCAACTGTCGATCAGTCTCGAGCCGCAGCTGGCGTCGTCCTCTCGAGCCTCCGCCTTTCACTCACCTAAGCCTCACTCCAGGTGAGCAGCTGTGGCCCTGCCTTTTCTCACATCCTCCCTCCCGAGCCGCAGGCCCAGGCTCTCTTCCACGACACTCGACACGCTTCTCTCTCTGGTCGCTCGCATCTTCGCCAACGTCACTCCCCATCACCGTCACCGCCCCATCTTGGGTCTCACCAAGTCATCTACTCGACACCAAACACCACGCCTCGACGCCGTAGTCGACCCGCCGCCCGCCACATCACTGAAACCCTCGGCCTGCATGAGTGCTGCTGTTCACTGCACTTCCGCGGCACTGCACCGCTGCGTATACCCGTCGCACGTCTGCCAGCTTGCGACATAACGCGCCTTCGATCGTTCGCGCGCCATCATGAACAACCCCAACATGCAACAGAATGGCATGCAACAAAACCGGGCCGCTGCGGGACTCCATCACTTTATTCAGCACTATCGTGTCCAGCAGCAGCAGGGTAAGATTCCAAATGGCTGGCAGCAGGGCACACCGCCTGAGGAGCGCGGTCAGCTGGCCCTTCAGTTCTTCACTCAGTACCGCCTGCTGAAGCCTGAGATCGCCGAAGTCGAGTCCATGCGCGCCGCCCTCCAGTTCGAGACGCAAACCTTTATGTCTTCGTCAACAAAGGACCAATATGTCTCCAACATCAAACAAAAGCTCATCGTCATGACGACAGCGCGGCAGCAACAGCTGCAGCAACGCATGCAAGGCGGCGCACCCAACAATATGAACAACCCGATGAACGGTATGAACGGCATGAACCCCGCCCAGATGAACATGATGAATCAGATGGGTCAGCAAGGCGCCAGGCAGGGAACCCCACAACAGTTCAACCCGGCCTTCCCGAACGCCCAACTCCAGCGACCGATGCAGGTTTCGCCCGTTCCCATGACGCAAGGACAGTCTTCGATGGGTGTAAATGGTGCAAACCCCGCCAACATGTCCCAACCGGGTCAGAATAACCAGCAACCGAACATGCAGGCCAATCAGAACCAGCAGCAGAATCGTCAGGACCAAATGATCATCAACCAATTCGCAAAGAAGTTGATGGACACCTGTAAAGAGGAGGTTCGGCTCAAGTTTGAAGCTGATATTCGAGCCTGGCCTGAGGACAAGAAACAGCAGTTGCTTGCCCAAGGCGT